ACTTAGTTAATGTCAAAATGACGTTTTATACGCCAACTTCACGTTGGGGATTTAAAAAAATTTGGTTATGGTATTGAAACGTCAAAAATGACGTTTAGAAGACTCAATATTTTAAGAAAATGTTTCGTATTACAAGAAATTGCATAAAATTGCTTTGGATTGATTAAAAATTTCAAAAATTATGTTTGGAATTACAACGATTTGACACCAAATTGCAAAAAAAGTTTCGACTTACCCTAATTAGATTAAAAGGTCACTTAATTAACGTTAAATGTCATTTGATTCGCCAACTTCACTTTAATGATTTTAAGAAATTGGTTATATTTGATATTAAAACGTCAAAAATGACAGAAAATCGTTGCATTTGACACTATATAGTAAAAAAAGTTTCGATTTACCCTGATTAGGTTAAAAAATAACTTAGTTAATGTCAAAATGACGTTTTATACGCCAACTTCACGTTGGGGATTTAAAAAAATTTGGTTATGGCATTAAAACGTCAAAAATGACGTTTAGAAGACTCAATATTTTAAGAAAATGTTTCGTATTACAAGAAATTGCGTAAAATTGCTTTGGGTTGATTCAAAATTTCAAAAATTATGTTTGGAATTGCAACGATTTGACACCAAATTGCAAAAAAAGTTTCGACTTACCCTAATTAGATCAAAAAGTCACTTAGTTGACGTTAAATGACATTTTATTCGCCAACTTCACTTTAATGACTTTAAGACATTGGTTATATTTGACATTAAAACGTCAAAAATGACAGAAAATCGTTGCGTTTGACACCATATAGTAAAAAAAGTTTCGATTTACCTTAATTAGGTTAAAAAGTCAATTAGTTAATGTCAAAATGACATTTTATACGCCAACTTCACGTTGGGGATTTAAAAAAATTTGGTTATGACATTGAAACGTCAAAAATGACGTTTAGAAGACTCAATATTTTAAGAAAATGTTTCGTGTTACAAGAAATTGCATAAAATTGCTTTGGATTGATTCAAAATTTCAAAAATTATGTTTCGAATTACAACGATTTGACACCAAATTGCAAAAAAAGTTTCGACTTACCCTAATTAGATTAAAAAGTCACTTAGTTGACGTTAAATGACATTTTATTCGCCAACTTCACTTTAATGATTTTAAGAAATTGATTATATTTGACATTAAAACGTCAAAAATGACAGAAAATCGTTGCGTTTGACACCATATAGTAAGAAAAGTTTCGATTTATCCTAGTTAGGTTAAAAAATCACTTAGTTAATGTCAAAATGACGTTTTATACGCCAACTTCACGTTGGGGATTTAAAAAAATTTGGTTATGACATTGAAACGTCAAAAATGACGTTTAGAAGACTCAATATTTTAAGAAAATGATTCGTATTACAAGAAATTGCGTAAAATTGCTTTGGATTGATTCAAAATTTCAAAAATTATGTTTGGAATTACAACGATTTGACACCAAATTGCAAAAAAAGTTTCGACTTACCCTAATTAGATTAAAAAGTTACTTAGTTAACGTTAAATGACATTTTATTCGCTAACTTCACTTTAATGATTTTAAGAAATTGGTTATATTTGACATTAAAATGTCAGAAATGACAGAAAATCGTTGCATTTGACACAATATAGTAAAAAAAGTTTCTATTTACCCTAATTAGGTTAAAAAATTACTTAGTTAATGTCAAAATGACGTTTTATACGCCAACTTCACGTTGGGGATTTAAAAAAATTTGGTTATGATGTTGAAACGTCAAAAATGACGTTTAGAATACTCAATATTTTAAGAAAATGTTTCGTATTACAAGAAATTGTGTAAAATTGCTTTGGATTGATTAAAAATTTCAAAAATTATGTTTGGAATTGCAACGATTTGACACCAAATTGCAAAAAAAGTTTCGACTTACCCTAATTAGATGAAAAAGTCACTTAGTTAACGTTAAATGACATTTTATTCGCCAACTTCACTTTAATGCTTTTAAGAAATTGGTTATATTTGACATTAAAATGTCAAAAATGACAAAGGTTAGGTTCGAAACTAATGAAACGGGAGGAATTAAGCTAAATAAGTTATAAAGTGCAAGAAAAACCTGGATTTATATTAAAAAGATTCGATACTTTAAAAAGTTGTTTGTAATAGTGTATAATAAATGTCAAAAATGACAGAAACGACTTGAATTGTGTTTAGAAGACTCAGTATTTAAATAAAAAAATGTTTAAATTAATTTAAATGAATTACAATAATGGTTTAAGAAAACTTTTTTGGTTGACTCAAAACTTTAAAAGCAAGTTTAAATATCTTATCAATCTCTCATTAACTCTTGGTAACCTCAAAAATCATTTTTAATCTGACAGTTCTAATTGGGACGTACATAACCTTAAAAATTTTATTAATTCGGAAATATAATAAAAAAATAAGTTGTAAACCTGCCATTAAAGTATCTTTGGACTCCTCTAAAGATTTGTTTCAATAAATAAGTTCTTAATTAATTAAATTATCACAATTAATCCATTTTTAATTGCATTATTACGCGGAAAGGTTATTCTAATCTGACAGTTCTAATTGACAACTAACCTCACTTATTTGTTCAACGCGATTTAATTAATAATTGGATTAAATTTATTATAAATAATTAAAAAACAATAAAAATCACCTACCTTAATTTGATTTAACGCGATTAAATTGACGGGATCTAATCCAACCTAAAAATAAAATAAATAAAAATTACCCTATTAATTTTGCCAACTTAAAAAAAATGGTACATTTGACATTCAAACGTTAAAAATAACAGTAACCTCAAAAATCTTCCAGTGGTATTTTCTATGTAATAATTAATTTACCTCAAATTTTTCCGGTATCTTCTCAAAAACGTATTTGAATTTCCATTTAGGACAATTTTTTTACTTTATTAATTAAATTACCACAATTAATTCATTTTTAATTGTGTTATGAGGTTACGCGTCATTTCTAATCTGACAGTTCTAATTGACAACTAACTTCACTTGGTTATTTTAATTTTAAACCGGATGAAATTTATTGTTATAAATAATTAAAAATCACTTACCTTAATTTGATTTAACGCGATTAAATTGACGGGATCTAATCCAACCTAGAAATAAAATAAATAAAAATTACCCTATTAATTTTGCCAACTTAAAAAAAATGGTACATTTGACATTCAAACGTCAAAAATGACAGTAACCTCAAAAATCTTCCAGTAGTATTTTCTATGTAATAATTTACCTCAAATTTTTCCGATATCTTCTCAAAAACGTATTTGAATTTCCATTTAGGACAATTTTTTTACTTTATTAATTAAATTATCACAATTAACCCATTTTTAATTGTATTATAACGCGGAGAGGTTACGCGTCATTTCTAATCTGACAGTTCTAATTGACAACTAACTTCACTTAGTTATTTTAATTTTAAACCGAATGAAATTTATTGTTATAAATAATTAAAAATCACTTACCTTAATTTGATTTAACGCGATTAATTCGACGGGATCTAATCCAACCTAGAAATAAAATAAATAAAAATTACCCTAAATTGCCAACTTAAAAAAATTGTTTACATTTGAAATTGAAACGTCAAAAATGACAGAAATCATTAAAATTGCGTTTAGACGATTTTAATTTTAAAAAAATGTTTGAAATTGTTCTAAAATGATAGAGATATAATTTGGAATTGTATTAATAAGACTTTATTGTTATTAACAATCTCTCATTAAGTTTTAGTAACCTCAAAAATCTTCAAGTAGTATCTTCTAGTAATTAATTTACCTCAAATTTTTCCGATATCTTCTCAAAAACGTGTTTGATTTTCCATTTAGGACAATTTTTTTACTTTATTAATTAAATTACCACAATTAATTCATTTTTAATTGTGTTATGAGGTTACGCGTCATTTCTAATCTGACAGTTCTAATTGACAACTAACTTCACTTGGTTATTTTAATTTTAAACCGGATGAAATTTATTGTTATAAATAATTAAAAATCACTTACCTTAATTTGATTTAACGCGATTAATTCGACGAGATCTAATCCAACCTAGAAATAAAATAAATAAAAATTACCCTAAATTGCCAACTTAAAAAAATTGTTTACATTTGAAATTGAAACGTCAAAAATGACAGAATCATCTAAACTTAATTTAAAAAAAATCTTCTAGTAATTAATTTACCTCAAATTTTTCCGATATCTTCTCAAAAATCTGTTTGAATTTCTATTTAAGACACATTTTTTTTACGTTATTGATTAAATTATCACAATTAATTCATTTTTAATTGTATTATGAGGTTACGCGTCATTTCTAATCTGACAGTTCTAATTGACAACTAACCTCACTTATTTGTTGTGATTTGAAGTCGTGACGTCACAGCCCAAATCGGATTAAATTTATTATTATAATTATTATTATAACATTTAGAACACAATTTTTTACATTATTAATTAAATTACCACAATTAATTCACTTTTAATTGTATTATGAGGTTACGCGTCATTTCTAATCTGACAGTTCTAATTGACAACTAACTTCACTTAGTTGTAATTTGTTATAAATAATTAAAAATCAATAAAAATCACCTACCTTAATTTGATTTAGCGCGATTAATTTGATGGGAACGAATCCAACCTAGAAATGAAATAAATAAAGAGATAATTTAAAGTGCCAACTTAAAATAAATAAAAAAATAAGTAAACGTCAAATTAATTAATTTAATAAAAAGATTGTTTTTATAATTATTTTATTTTTATATAATATATATACAATATTTACAAGAAAAAATCGTACAAAATCGTTACAAATTAGATTATTATCAATATATTTGGTTTTTAATTTAGAAAATCTTAACAAAATTAACATCACAGTCGCAATAATTTTTTTTTGAAAAAAAAGATTACCTAAATTAACAATTTTAATTAACTTTTACCTATTATCGGAATAAATCGATTCGCATTTCAAAATTTGGTTATAAACCTTTTCGATGCGCTCGTTTAATGTTTTAATACTTTTCTCGGGCAAAGTTGGTAACACGTCCTTAACCTTACCGTCATTATTTCTGTCAAACATTTCTTTCAAAAGCACCCCCACGTTCTTTTTAAACTTCAAATCTTTGATTATATTAACGGTTTGTTTCCGAAACATGCACAAATTATCCAACAAAATCGAATGATACTTTTCGTACTTCTGCAACAATCGGTATCCGTGCAAAAGCCCGGATTCGTTATCCAAAAAAACCAACAAATTCGAATTCGAATTTTTCGCCAAATTATGCGCCGGAGCCTCCATTATATTCACATTCCATTGGTAATTGAACAAATTATTAACAACCCGATCTAAATTCGCGGTTAAATAATCAAAAATTATTAAATCGCACCATTGGGCCAACTCGATTAATGATTTTGACGTTTCTAATTCGTTGTCGATTATTTTTTTTACGTCAAATTTGTTTAAATGTTTATCGCTCGATTTAAAAACTTTCGGGATATTCGCAGAGTCTAAATTCTCGATGTATTTGGTTAAAACGATGGGTTTGTTGGAATTCCATTGGGCCAAAGAGATATCGTGAACGATATTTTTGAAAAAATCGTCTTTTAAATTCACCACGCTCACGATAGATGGGGCTAAATTGTTTAATTTCAAAATTTGCCCCAAATAAAAACTGAATAATTCGCCTTGAATTTGATCGATGTTTTGGCGATATCGAATACAACCTTTAAATCCATTTTCGAAGATAACCAAACGATTTTGCATCCTTCCACATCCGTTTTCTAACTTCACAGCGGTGTTTGTGTTGATGAAGTTTTTCCAAGATTTGTGATGATTCTCGTTGAATCCTTTTGGGATTAAATTTTCGATTTTTTTGCCCCAAAATATCCCGTTTTCGATGAGATTATTCGTTTCGAAGTTTTCGATGAATGAAACTGTTGAGAATTCGTTTTTGGTTAGATTTTGATTTAAATTTAAGTTTCCAAAGCTGTTGTTTAAGAAGATATTTTCGATTTTGAATTCGTCTCCGTGATTCAAATCGATTTTGGTTTTATTTTTGGGCAAATCCTCTTTAAAGCACATGATGGGTATTAAAATGCCAACGAAAAATCCGATGGAAAACGCGAATAAAACACTAAACACGCACAACGAACGCTTTAAATTCGCGTTTTTGTTCTTATTCATTTCTGGTTTGATTAAATTTTCGAATTTCACCATTTTTAAAGTCACTTAATGTTGAAATTTTTTCCTTTTTACGTTCACCAAAAACGATAAGAAACCCTTTTCGTTCGAGTTCTTATCATTTAAAAATATGCGACCAGTTTTCTTCGACGAAGTTGAAATAAAACTACTTTTTTTCGTTTTGTCTTCACATTTCTTCACTTCGAATAAGATGGATATAAAAAAAATGGTTTAATTTTTTTTGCTTCGTTTATGATAAAACTTTTCGTTATATTTCGAACTAGTTTGTTAAAGTTTTTTGGTAAACGTGGTATCGGGCTGGCATTCCTCCAGCGACTGATACGAAAACCGCCCGGACCCGAACTGAACAATGAAGCTTAAAGCGATCCGAAGAATAAATGCTTGGCGTTCCACGGTAGAATGAGACGGAGGTAATGGGTATTGAAAATTGGTTGGTGTGAGATGGATACTGGACAAATGTAATGGGAGGATGGAGGGGAGTGTTTTAGGTTCGTTTCAGATAGAGATAGATTTATTTCTGATGGGGAAAGTGGGAGAATCGACTGAGGTAGACGCCGGTCGAGCATTGTGGACCCGTCTGGTGCCCGCCGAGGATATCTTCTTTAGCCGGAGATGGTATCGGCGGGATGGTTTGAAACGATAAGTTCCTCGTCTTGCGAACGAACCTGCATAAACTTGTATCACTTTTTTTTTAACTTAACTTGATCGGAGAAAATATTGAAAAATTGCACGATTTATTTTCTAAAATTAAATTACTAACCAATATACGTTGTTATTTCTATCAATATATCTCAATCTATATTCTTTCTATCATTTATAACGTAATAAGGAGATGTAGAAGGTAACTTAAGTGTTCAAAATTTTTATTTCTTGCATTATTCATGATTTAGCAATGCTTTTTCTACTTTTACATCCTGACTATAGTTATCATTCTTATAAATTCATTGTTTCTAGTAAGAAATTTATACAAATATTACACTTGTAATGCAATTTTGATTTTTGAAAACAGTTGGTAGTGTTCTGCCAACAATATTAGTAGGTTTTTAAGCTAATGCAAGCAATTTTAGTCTTCTGCCAACAGTATTTTGTCTTCTGCAAGCAGTTTCTAATGTATTACAAGCAGTATACAACCTTAAATACACAATATCCATCCTCAGCAAGCAATTTTAGTCTTTTGTCAACAATATTTTGTCTTCTGCAAGCAGTTTCTAATGTATTACAAGCAGTATTTAGTCTTCTACAAGCATTATCTGTCTTTTGCAAGTAACTATAATTCCCTAGCAACCTTATTTAATCCTCTACAAGCAATTTCTAGTATATTGGAAGCAATATCTAGCCTTCAGTACAACGTATCCGTCCTCAGCAAACAATTTTAGTCTTTTGCCAACAATATTTTGTCTTCTGCAAGCAATTTCCAGTGTATTGGAAGCAATATACAACCTTAAATAAACAATATCCATCCTCAGCAAGCAATTTTAGTCCTCTGCCAACAATATTTTGTATTCTGCAAGCAATTTCTAATCTATTACAAGCAGTATTTAGTCTTCTACAAGCATTATCTGTCTTTTGCAAGTAACTATAATTCCCTGCCAACCATATTTAATCTTCTACAAGCAATTTCTAGTTTACTGGAAGCAATATCTAACCTTCAATACAACGTATCCGTCCTCAGCAAGCAATTTTAGTCTTTTGGCAACAATATTTTGTATTCTGCAAGCAATTTCCAGTATATTTGAAGCAATATACAACCTTAAATACACAATATCCATCCTCAGCAAGCAATTTTAGTCTTCTGCCAACAGTATTTTGTCTTCTGCAAGCAGTTTCTAATCTATTACAAGCAGTATCAATACTTTTACAGTCAGTATTTATATTCTGCAAACAGTTTCCAGTCTATTGCAAGCAGTATCAATACTTTTACAGTCAGTATTTATATTCTGCAAGCAGTTTTAGTCTTCTGCCAACAGTATTTACTCCTTTTCCAACAGTATTTATTCTTTTGCAAGCAGTTTCCAAGTAATCCACGCACAATCTTGCCTTATATAGATCACATTTGTCTTCTACAAGCAGGTCTAATCTTTTGCCAATCGTATTTAGTCTTCTGCAAGCAATTTTTAGTACATCACAAAAAATATTTAGCGCTCTATGGACTGTATTTGCCTTCTGCAAGCAGATTTAAGGTATAAGAAAAAGGGGTCAGCAACAGTACCGGTAGAGCAGTTTGAGGTTGCTCTCACTTCAGTGGCGACAAAGCGACAGTGTCGCTGCGCTTGGAATTAATTTCATAGAGATTCAAATGGTTTGTGGTTGCAGTTCGCAGTATTGGACGTGAACCATTAATCTTCTGCTAATTGTATTTAGTCTTTTATGCACAGTTTTAGTCTATGACAAGCAGTATCTACCATTTATAAGAAGTATCTTTCTTCTGCCAGCAGAATTAAGCTTTTAGCGAGCAGTATTTATTCACTCACAAGTACTTTCTAGTCTTCTGCAAGCAGTTTTAGCCTTCTGCCAACAGTATTTAGTCCCTAAGAAGTAATTTTTAGTCTTCTGCAAGCAATTTTAGCTTTCTGCCAACAGGATTTAATCTTTTGCAAGCAATATTTAGTACATCGCAAGCAGTATCTAGCCTTCTTTGGGCAGTATTTGTCTTTTGCAAGCAGTATTTAGTCACTCGCGACTAATTTCTACTCCACTGTCAGCAGTATATGTCTTCTGCAGGCAGTTTTAATATTCTGCCCACCATATTTAGTCTTCTGCATACAGTTTCAACCCAACTGCAAGCAGTATCTAACTTTTTAAAGGCAGTATCTGTCTTCTGCCAACCACATTTAGTCTTCTATAACCAGTTTTAATCTTCTGCCTACAGTACCAAGTGTTCTCCAAGCAGTTTTTGAGCCATTTCAAGCAATACCTAAACTTAACTTATAAATATTTAAAATTTTGCGCGACGCAATCTCATTATTTTTTAATAACGTAATTAATAATAAGGATAAAGTTGCATTAAATCAATACGTAATGGGAAAGCTTTGTCGCCAAAGATTACATGTGGTAAAGTTTCATTACAATCTAGAGTTATTTCGTTAAAGGATGATGGGAAGTTCCGTTAACGATAGTTAACCTTTATCTCGTAAACTCAACTGTCAAATTAAAAATGACACATTCCAGAAGTATGTACAAGTTGTAACAAGTACAGAAAATACAATTTATTATTTTTGAAATAATAATTTTGTAGCAACTTAACAACTTAAATTAAAACCCCTGTCGGTTTAAAATCGACTTATCAACTCAACGCTTTATTTGGAGTTAATCCGATTTTAAGCGGTTTAACCTTGATTTATTTTATTAAACGTCACAATATTCAAAAAAATCGCCGCAACGACGTTTAAAAATAATTTAATTTTTAGTTAAATCAAGAAAAATTGAATTAAAATAATTAAAACGTACATACCTTCAAAGAAATCAGCGGAAAATGAAAAAATTTGACGTTTCACAACTTGACAGAACCACTAATTCCAAATTCATGTGTAATTGCTGCCAACTTAAATTTTGGGAGAAAACCTATAAAAAAAAAATTTTTAAACATTAAAATTTTTTAGTGTTAAAATTTATGTTTTAAATTAAGATTAATAATAATTAAAAATGTTAAGTTGATTTTTTAATAATTTGATTCTTTATTAACTTAACCCACGATGAATTTTTAATAAGATGATAATAGAATAAGAAATCAAGAAAAAAAGAGTTCATCATTAATCTTAGCGTTTAAAACTAATTTAATTATTAGTTAAATTAAGAAAAATTAAGTTAAAATAATTAAAACGTACATACCTTAAAGGAAATCATCGGAAAATGAAAAAAATTCCGTTTCGATTTGACGTTTCACAACTTGACAGTCACAATTTGATTGAACCTCTAATTCCAAATTCATGTGTAATTGTTGCCAACTTAAATTTTGGGACAAACCTATAAAAAAAAAATTTTACCTTAAAATTTTTTAGTGTCAAAATTTACGTTTTAAATTAAGATTAATAATAATAAAAAATGTTGAGTTGATTTTTTACTAAATTGAATAATTTAAATTCAATTAATTCTTTATTAATTTAACCCACGATGAATTTTTAATAAGATAATAATGGAATAAAAAATCAAGGAAAAAAGAGTTCATCATTAATCTTAGTGTTTAAAAAGAATTTAATTTTTAGTTGAGTTAAGAAAAATTAAGTTAGAATAATTAAAACGTACATACCTTAAAGGAAATCATCGAAAAATGAAAAAAATTCTGTTTCGATTTGACGTTTCACAACTTGACAGTCACAATTTGATTGAACTCTAATTCCAAATTCAGGTGTAATTGCTGCCAACTTAAATTTTGGGACAAACCTATAAAAAAAAAATTTTTAAACATTAAAATTTTTTAGTGTCAAAATTTACGTTTTAAATTAAGATTAATAATAAAATTAAAAATGTTAAGTTGATTTTTTAATAAATTTAAATTCAATTAATTCTTTATTATTTAACATACGATAAATTTTAATAACATAATAATGGAATAAAAAATCAAGGAAAAAAGAGTTCATCATTAATCTTAGCGTTTAAAACTAATTTAATTATTAGTTAAATTAAGAAAAATTAAGTTAAAATAATTAAAACGTACATACCTTAAAGGAAATCATCGAAAAATGAAAAAAATTCTGTTTCGATTTGACGTTTCACAACTTGACAGTCACAATTTGATTGAATCTCTAATTCCAAATTCATGTGTAATTGCTACCAACTTAAATTTTGGGACAAACCTATAAAAAAAAAATTTTTAAACATTAAATTTTTTTAATGTCAAATTTGACATTTTAAATTAATAATAATAATTAAAAATGTTAAATTCACTTTTAGTTAACTTATTTAGTCTCTTGCAAGCAATTTCTAAAACATTCCTAGCAATATCTAACTTTTAAAATGTAAAAAATAGATAGTCATAAAAAAATCAAGAAAAAAAGAGTTTGTTTTGGAACCACTGAAGTCGACTCGTAATATTTTAGCTCGTTTGGAGTTGTCACAGAGAGCGTGCCCCCTTCTGCGAAGGTTAGACCGGCGTCGTACCGAAATTGATTAACTAACAAATGGGCGAGGGACGTGATGCGATGTTAGCCGTGTTCATATTTATCAACAAAAAAAAGTACCTCTCAAACCGAAATTTAACAACAAAAAGATTGAGTTTTATAACATTAAATTGTATAAGTCTTGAGAAAGAAATTCACACTCTTGAAAGTTGTCACGCGACTAAAAAGATGATTTATCTATGGGTTATTTGACAATACCCCCGAGATTCTAACGTCATTCGTCATGTGCGTGCTGGATTCGCTCAACGGACAAGTTAAGAAAGGTTGGGAATGCCAAAAAGGTATCGTACAGATAACGATCTGAGGGGTTCTCTTTTATTGTCAGTCCGGATTCCACACCGAGAGGATTAAGATTTTTTTTTGTTCGTACCTACTAATATTAAAAATATCAAAAATCAAATCGGTTAAGAAAATATTTTATAATCTTAGGATGGGAAAAGAATTATTAGAAAAGAAATTATTAAGCGGTAATAAATATATCTCACCTCAGCCGTTTGTTAACGTTTAAGAAAGTTTATTTCATTATCTTTTTTTTTTTTTGTTGCGTTTCGATGTCGTTTTCATCCCGCTGAGTTCGAAAATACGATCGGAAAGTATACCATTTTTGAAATAAATTTACTAATAAATTTTTTGTTCCCCATTTTCGGTCACTAATTTAAATTTGTAGTCGTCGTAATTAAACTTGACTAGGTTTAATCATAAACAACTTTCTAAGATAAAAATTTCTTCACTAAACGCGCGAGAACTCACTAATGTATATTCTAATGATCATACTTTTATTGAATTAAAATTAAAATTAGATCTAGAACTAGAAAGTTTCGGGTTTAGCCGTGCATTTTCAACAGTTTTAATCTTCTCCCAACAGTATTTAGTTTTCTGCAAGCAGTTTCTACTGTATTGTAAGCAGTATTTAGCCTTATCTGTCTTCTGCAAGTAGCTATAATTCCTTACCAACCATATTTAGTCTTTCACAAGCAATTTTTAGTATATTGGAAGCAGTATCTAGCCTTCAATACATAGTATCCGTCTTCAATAAGCAGTTTTAGTCTTCTGCCATCAGTATTTAGCCTTCAAGATACAGTATCTGTCCTCAGCATGCAGTTTTAGTCTTCTGAAAACAATATTTAATCTTCTGGAAGCAGTATTTAGTAGTCCGGAGCAATATCAAATTTTCTGAAAGCGGTATCCAGCTTTTTGGTAGTAATATTTGTCTTCTGAAAACAATATTTAGTCTTCTGGAAGCAGTATTTATTTGTCTGGAGCAATATTTAGTCTTTTGGAGCAGTATATAGTCTTTTGGTAACAAGGTTTGTCTTCTGAAAGCACTATTTACTCTTCTGGAGGCAATATCCAGTCTTTTACAAGTAAAATTTGTCTTCTGAATGCAATATTTAGTCTTCTAGAAGCAATATCCAGTCTTTTAGTAGTAAAATTTGTCTTCTGAAAGCAATATTTAGTCTTCTAGAAGCTGTATCCAGTCTTTTGGTAGTAACATTTGTCTTCTCATAGCAATATTTAGTCTTCTGGAAGCAGTATTTAGTCTTACGGTAGTAATATTTGTCTTCTGACAACAATATTTCATCTTCTGGAAGCAGTATTCAGTCTAGAAGACTAAACATTCCTTTCAGAAGAGAAATTTGAGTAGTAAAAGACTGAATATTGTTTCCAGAAGAGTAAATATTGCTATCAGAAGACAAACACTATTACCAAAAGACTGGATACTGCTTCTAGAAGACTAAATATTGCTTTCAGAAGACAAATTTTACTACTAAAAGGCTAGATATTGCTCACAGATGAGTAACTATTGCTTTCAGAAGACAAACATTGCTACCAAAAGACTGGATACTGTTTCCAGAAGCCTAAATATTGCTATCAGAAGACAAATTTTATTACTAAAAGGCTGGATATTGCTCCCAGAAGAGTAAATATTGCTTTTAGGTGACAAACATTGTTACCAAAAGACCGGATACCGCTTCTAGAAGACTAAGTATTGCTATCAGAAGATAAAGATTGCTACCAAAAGACTATATATTGCTCCAAATGACTAAATATTGCTTCCTGAAGATGAAATATTGCTGTCAAAAGTTAAACATTACTACCACAAAATTGAATACTTCTTCCAAAAGAGTAAATATTGCGTTCAGAAGATAAATATTACTACCAAAAGACGGGATATTGCTTCTAGAATACTAAATATTGCTTTCAGAACAGAAATTTTAATACTAAAAAAATTGATATTGCTCAGACTGTATACTATCAGTATTCAATCTTGTGGTAGTAATGTTTATCTTGCGACAGCAATATTTCATCTTCAGGAAGCAATATTTAATCTTCAGGAAGCAATATTTAATCTTTTGGAAGCAGTATCCAGTTGTTTGGTAGTAATGTTTGTCTTCTGAAAGCAATATTTAGTCTTCTGGAAGCAGTATTCAGTCTTTTGGTAGTAATGTTTGCTTTCTGAAAGCAATATTTAATCTTCCGCAAGCAGTTTCCAGTATATTGCAAGCAGAGTGTTGCCTTCTATAAGCCGTGCCTATCTTTTATAAGCAGTTCTAATCTTTTGAAAATCGTATTTATTCTTCTGTAAGCAATTTTTAGTTTATTACAAGGAATATCTAACGTTGTATAGACTGTGTTTGTCTTCTGCAAGCAGATTTATGGTATAAGTCTAACTCCAAACCTCTTTAATAGCAACACAATAAGCAAAGAGGAGATTATTATGAAGTATTATTGCATGAATTTTTAGAAACAAGTCGCAACGTGTTAAGTAAACATTTGTGCTTAGCGTAATTTCTAGTTTTAGTTGTTCTGTGCAAAACCTTATTATGCAAATGGTTTAAGTTATTTTGGGCAACTAAAATGTACGATCGTTGGGGTTCGTAAAAAAAATATTTTTTCCGCAAGTATCCGTCGTGTAAATTTTTCAAGACTTTTTTCCCCCTAAAAGAAAAAGAAACGAAGAAGGCGTTATCGAGAAGGGTTAAAAGTGCGAGAGAGAGGAGGCGTATAAAGTCGCGAAACGTAATAATATTCGTTATACCTGTGGGCCCCGCGGTCTCTTTCTCTTTCTCGGCTCTCTACTCGCATTATTTACATTTATTGCTTAATGGCTCCCATAAAAAATATATTAAAACAATATTTGTCCACCGCTGGCGTTCGCTAACAATGTTTACGGCCCCGTTCCGACCAAATTATTACCTCGCAATTCGAAAAGGTGAACGTCTAACGTACCCCGAAAAGAATTTAATTAAACGGAAAACTTGAAATATTTTACAATTCTTTTTTGCTTAATATCCATGTTAAAATTGTTAAGATTTTCTTAATAACCTCCAACTTTGTTTTGCAAAAACGTCAAGATCAAAATAATTTAAAAAATCAAAGTAATATTTATTTATTTACCTTGATTCATATCCAGAATTGGTTAATTAATCCAAAATAAATTGATTTTGATGAAACTGATTTACAACATAACCTTAATGTCAAATCAAAATGACACTTAGGTTAGAATTATTCCTCCTAAAATTATTTTTTTAATTCAAATTAATTAAAAATATAAAGAAATTTAGATCGTTTACCTTAAAATAATACTCCGATTCATTTAATTAAGAAGAATTGATTGATTTTGATTCAAAATCCCATTTAAATCTAATAGAACCTTGTTGACAGCTTCACGTCAAATTCGTGGACTGATCAGGGCTGCCACACCACTTTTTTTAATAAAAAGAAATAAACCTAAAAATTTTGACAACTAATATAACATCAAAATAACCTAAAAATCAAAGTAATATTTATTCATTTACTTTGATTCATATCCAGAATTGTTTAATTAACCCAAAATAAATTGATTTTGATAAAATTGATTTACAACATAACCCTTATGTCACATCAAAATGACACTGAGGTTAGAATTATTTCTCCTAAATTTTTTTTAATTTAAATTAATCAAAAATATAAAGGAATTTAGATCGTTTACCTTAAAATAATACTCCGATCCATTTAATTAAGAAGAATTGATTGATTTTGATTCAAAATCCCGTTTAAATCTAATAAAACCTTGTTGACAGCTTCACGTCAAATTCGTGGACTGATCAGGGCTGCCACACCACTTTTTTTAATAAAAAGAAATAAACCTAAAACTTTTGACAACTAATATAACATCAAAATAACCTAAAAATCAAAGTAATGTTTATTCATTTACTTTGATTTATATCCAGAATTGTTTAATTAACCCAAAATAAATTGATTTTGATAAAATTGATTTACAACATAACCCTTATGTCACATCAAAATGACACTGAGGTTAGAATTATTTCTCCTAAATTTTTTTTAATTGAAATTAATCAAAAATATAAAGGAATTTAGATCGTTTACCTTAAAATAATACTCCGATTCATTTAATTAAGAAGAATTGATTGATTTTGATTCAAAATCCCGTTTAAATCTAATAAAACCTTGTTGACAGCTTCACGTCAAATTCGTGGATTCATCAAGGCTGCCACACCACTTTCTTTAATAAAAAGAAATAAACCTAAAAATTTTGACAAGTAATATAATAACCTTAAAATATTTTGAGTAATCATGAAAAACATTGAAAAATATGAAATTACAAGGAATTTATTTATTTTTTTGAAACCTAGAAGAATTTCTTTTTATTTTTCTAACGAGACAGGTAATGTATGCGAAGCAACAAAGGACGACAGTTTAAAAGTCGTATAATTTTGTAACTTTAATAAATTTGGCTGACAAATGCCTTACACAGAAATTTCGGACAAGGACATATATTTCGGGGGGACCCCTTCTTCTTCTTCATCGTCTTCGTTGGCTGCGCGAGGCGGCTGTTGGTTACGCAATCACCTCTTCTACCTGTGAGCCTCGTTTTCGTCTTCTCCTTGTTCTGTGGTGGTGGCTCAGGTCTCCGATATCCGGGGACATGTGTTCAGAAACGAGAAACATGCTTAATCGAAACCGAAAACATCCTACGACAATTAGAACTTGTTCGATTGGAAATTAAAATATTTTTCCTTTTTAATATCGAATTAAAACAGTCCTATTTACTAAAATCGAGAAGATGGTGAAATTATGAAATGAATATAAAGATGAATTCATAAGATGAACTTATAAGAATTTATAATAAAAGAAAGAAGAAAGCAAACCGAAGGAAGTTCGCAGAACGCTTCTTCGTACCGATGAAGAAGACGACTTAATCAAGGAAACGGCGGGGGATCTCTGCCGCTTTTTTTTCTGTTTAATTTGCGCGTCGCCCTTCAATTTCCGCGGAAATTTACACGGAATTGGATTAGAGAGAACGAAAAATGAACAAGGCGGCTTGAACTAGTTGAAATAAAAAAGGTTCCTCTCAATGAACTAAAAGGGAATATTTTGAAAAGGGACTCACACCTAACGACAAAAGACTTCTTCCTGTTTATTGTTAAATGTAGGGTGGTGGCAAAAAGGAATTTCTTTCATTCGGATTTTTGGCAACACCTGGTTTTAACTTAACTGGGATAATTTCATTTTATTTTGAGTCATCCCAAAATGAATCTTTTCCCCCTGTTAATCTGCCGTTCAGATAAACGTCAATCTGAACCAGATACGATCGTTAGATAAAAGCACAAATATGACAAACTTGATATATGTATCTGACTTTTGCATCCTTCGCCGAGGTCGCTTGCGGGCGAGGCGCTGCGTATGTCATTTAAATCAACACAAAACTTGTATAAGAATCGATTCTGTCTTCAACAAGCAGTTTTAGTCTTCTGACCACAGTATTTCGTCTTCTGCAAGCAGTTTCTAGTATATTGGAAGCAGTAATTAGCTTTAAATACACAGTATCTGTCTTCAAGAAGCAGTTTTAATCTTTTGACCACAATATTTCGTCTTCTGCAAACAATATCTAGTACACTGTGTTAATTAATTATCAAACCCGACGTCATCATTGCAAGTATGCAACCAATATCACACTGAATATATCTGAATACGTAAATCGCCTATTGCCATACCAATACTGTGATATTGGTTGCATACTTGCAATGATGACGTCGGTTACGACAATTAATTAATATATTGAAAGTTGTATCTAGCCTTCTACAAGTAGTATCTGTATTCTACAAGTAGCTGTTGCTTCCTACCAACTATATCTAGTCTTCTACAAGCAATTTCTTGTATATTGTAAGCAGTATCTAGCCTTCAATACATAGTATCTGTTTTCAACAAGCAGTTTTAGTGTTTTAATAACAGTATTTAGTAATCTGTAAGCAGTTTCCAGTGTATTGTAGGCCTTCGTCGTTCATTTGACTGTTAATTTCGTCTTTACGCGCATCGCTGAGCTTTACTATTCCTGAGGTTCACCTCCGGATTCCCATCATTTTCCCTTCTAATACCTGCTTGAAGCTGGCAACTGAGGTTGTCTCCTTACAATCCAGAAATCTCCATTCCAGTGCGTGGACTCCAGTACATGGTATAATAGTGGGCTATAAACAGCAGCTGGAGCTGTTACTTTTCCGGGCATGTCCTTAACCACGTCACGACAGCGTGGACGAAGCCGTTGGAGAGTAATTCATTTAGTGATTTCCCTTATTCCATAGGAGTAATAGAAACCACACATCCAGTAGTGCCACGAGTAGGTAGACACTCGAAGTAACATTTCTTCCAGCCACGCAGAAAGGCATACTAACCTACCCCAACAGCAAGGCTGCAAACTATTCTACAAGCAATGGCTAGTAGCGCTACTAATCCCACCAACATTATCTATTGTCGCCGAGGTCGCTTGCGGGCGAAGCGCTAGAGCCGATCATTTATGCTATCCGTTGATATAGCTACATACTCTGTGCCTCGCCCGCAACAGCCGTTACAGCCTATAATACCCGCTTTACTATAATATAATTGGATGACGTTATATATCACTTGATTAAACGACATTTTATCGTTTTTAGAGATTTTCATGCTGTCTGGTAGGTAAAGGTGTAACTTTTATCTTAGCAAAAATGCAGAATACCGAAAGACCTAAAATACCATTTGTTTTAAAGGATAAAGCTAAACGTCAATCACGTTATACGATTTCAAGTCCAATTTGCATCATACGTCTAAGAACCGACTTACAATTAGATACGACACTTAGATACACCAAGAAATTCTACAATAGAAATAATAGATGAACCTACAATTTCGGACCAGTGTTTTTTTCTAGATGTTAGGATAAAATTAAAAGTTTAAAGTAGTTTCGGCCCTTGGCCATCTTCAAAGACTCTACAAATAGATTAACATCTCTCATCTTATTCATTTTACAAACGACAACGGTAGGTAGCGTTAGTTAGCATATTTTTATTGCACTAAAACTAGAACTAACACTAGACCGAGAACTAGAATCATTACGGTTTAACCGTCTTGAGAGACGTGGGACTAAATCTGAACGTTTCTAGTTCTCGCTCTAGTGTTAGTTCTAGTTGGCAGTGGTATTGAAATAAAACTAGAAACATTCGGGTTTAGTCGTGAAAACTTTCAGTTGTCAATATCAACTTTAATTTTATTATTATATTCGTAATCTTCATAAAATAACCTTTAAAGTGAGTCCAAACATGATGCATTGATCTCAAAAAAACCAAAAAGTTCGAACTTTCAACTTTTAATTTTGACATATTTGTCAATTTCATAAAAAATCCTTTAAAATGAGTCCAAACTCGACATATTTAACTTTGATATTAATGGAGATACAATCACTTCCGGTTTGAAACGTCAACGTCAATTTTGACATATTTGTCATCTTCATCAAAAAGCCTTTAAAATGAGTACAAACATGACGTACTTATCTTAAAAAACAAAAAAGTTAGAAAAAAAAAACATTAAACTCGAAGTTGGCAACAATGAAGATAACAATTTAATTTTTAAATATTAATACCAACCTTAATTTTTGATTTTTTTTATTATATTTTTGTTTTTGTGACAAATTTTAAGACATTTCATAAAATTAAGAATATATCAAATTGACATTGACATTTCAAACCGGAAGTTGCTTATATCTCGAGTAATATTGGAATTAAACGTATCATGTTTGGACTCATTTTAAAGGATTTTTCACGACGATTACAAATATGTCAAAATTGACGTTGACATTTTTAACCGGAAGTTGACCATAACTTCATTAATATTGAAGATAAATATGTCGTGTTTGTACTCATTTTAAAGGATTTTTGATGAAGATTACAAATATGTTAAAATTGAGGTTGATATTTTAAACCTGAAGTTAGTTATCATATAATAGAAGTTTTATAACTGAAGTTAATTTATCATTTTCATTTGCGGTCGTTTTTCCGCACTTTCTTTAACGCGTTTTTTCATTGATTAAAAAAATATCGTCGGTTTCTTAACATTCATTTTGTAAATTGGTAACTAATAATCTTATTTCGACTTTGATATGTGATCTTTTTTAACAAAAGTAAAAGAAATATTAAGAAACTTGTTTGTAAAATGGATAGGATAAGGGATGTTAATCTATTTATAGAGTCTCTGAAGATGGCCAAGGGCCGAAACTAGTTAGACTTAAATTCTTTATAAAATAGAAACCAGTCTAAAAGTACAAAATCAAACTCTAGATAATTTCATTCCAAAATATTTACACGAAACATCATTTTGACTCTAGTATTTGTGATTAAATTTATGCCACGTCTTACAGAAACACCCTGTACAATCGTAAAACGACTGATCAAGCGGATTCCGTGCTTGTGATGGTTGTCATCAGTGTTCTGTGATAAAAATAGACAGGCACCAAACAATTTTCAATAATTTGAGCCTGTCTATTCTGAGAAGTCTTATATTTTTAGAGAGATGAAAACGAAAATCCCGTTTTTACACAACTTATAATAGCAGTTTAACTATGATATAAGTACATTATCCAGCGCCTCGCCCGCAAGCGACCTCGGCGATGTTAGATATCGTTCATTTGACGTATTGGAAAGTAAATAAAAAAAAATATACTTGAAACGGAAACTGTTTAACTTCATTTCGCCAAGGTCGCTTACAGGCGAGGCGCTAGATATGTAATGGAATTTCTTTTATTCGAATTTTTGACAACACCTGCTTTTAACTTAACTGGGATAATTTAATAGTAGTATTACAAATTTAATTTTATTTTAGA